AAATATTTGGAGCAAACATGTGTATCTTGGAGTCAGTTGATGGTTTTCCATAGCTATGTTAAATTACTAGAGGGTATACACATTTTTTGTTTGGCCTCAAATCCACAATTTGTTATACTGTGTTAATGTGCATTCAGAGAATGAGAACGATTGAGGATACAACTGGATCATCATATGGGCATAGTAGATTTATTTAACATTATCTAACCAAGAATGTTCAGTAAAATGTCATTTATTTTCAGTTCTGAATGGTGAATCTATCAACCCAATCTCTTGACCAGGCTAAAAAGTGATAGACTTTGGAGGCGCCGAGGGGTGGAGTGATGTGGAGACTCCAAGGAAAACTCCGAGTCCACTGTTGCCAACAAAAAATGGGGGCCGAGGAGCTACTCAGAGTTTCCCAAACATCAATGGCCATGACTCAGGAACCTAAATTGGAGGTACCTACCATATATAAGGCCTATGTTTCAGGCCTAAATTTCAGGGAATATCCCCACAAAGTATGGCCTGAAAAATGGTACGTTTATGTACCTCCATTTTAGGATCCTGGAATTCCCATTGAAAACATGAGATTACCCTCTGGTCAACTAGAGGGTATGCCCCCAGAAGTAATCTGTTTGGTGGTTTCAAACATGACTTTTATTTTCCATAATATATGGGATAATCCTTCCCATTGATTCATTTTTTTCAGAGGGGTTGAAACCACCAACCAGTAATGGTTGGAACATTTTAATTAGCAGTAGAAAAATCTGAATGAAACCTGCAAACATAGGGGTGTGGATGATGGTACGGTTGACTGACGGTTATAAGATGGAGAATTTTGTTGGGAACGGGCTAGTCCATAGATGGGTCGTTGATAGTCTGAAATGGGGTTTGGGTTTGAATAGCTACATTACTCTGGATACTATGAACTGAATTTGATTGACGTCATAAATCCAACAAGAAACCATTACCCCATTTGCCCAGTCTTACCACTTTGGGTATTTCAAAAACCACTTGTGTATTTCAAAAACCATAAGCATCAGGGTTTGTGGCATTTGGCTTGCCACATCACTTTGAATTGTCTCATTTTCCATATCGCAGGAATCAAGACGCAAACCTACATAAGAATGCTGCAGGTTCTGGGTAAATTGCATGGGTTTTACCACGACGTCATCACAAATGAGGGTTTACAATGGTTTAGAGTGATAACCCAGATCAGTAATCCACCAATTTACTACTTCTTATTTCGTTGTACCAATGTTAGTAGCAATTTACAATATCACTATTTTGGGGATAACCACAGCAATTAATAATTACTTAGTTTTAGGGTGTATTAATCCAGGCTTGACATTTAATTGGTAACAATCCCACATGGCCAGCAAAAACCTTCGGGTTGATGAATGATGATGAAATTCAGCCAGATAGTCGATGGCTAGCAGGTGCGATGATATCAAGATCAACGAACATTTTTCTGGGTGAAAGATTAACGTAGTTAAAACATGTTAAAACCATAGTAAAGCACCCATGTGGGAATGGTTTGTACCACCAATTTATTGTGATTTGGGGGAGGTTTTGGGCATTGCATCCATGTTGTTGATTGCCGCTTTGGTCGACGCAGTTGTAGTGTGATTTGCAAGGCAGTGATGGCAGATCGCAGTGGAACTGCTGTGTCAAGTTTTGTATTGTTGCTGCGTCAAGGTTGCTTGGCGCGGCGGCTGCGTAATACTATTGTCTTTTGCAGCTGGACATCGTAAATCGTATTGGAGTGGCTGCATCAACGCTGCGATTCTGATTTGTCAGCAGATTTTTTCAATTTTGGCGCTGGCGATTTTCCTTCTAAAATTGCCTTTGAAAAGTGCTTCAAAATCGTCTTTTTCTTGCTTTGGCGTCGAGATCCAGTTTTGGAGCCGCAATTTCTGTGCAAAAGCATCTCTGTGTGAAAGTTTCCCGGACAGTGTGAAAGCTTTTGTGTGTACAAGTTTTTGTGTGTAAAAACTTTCTCTGTGTAAAAGCTTCTGTGTGCAAAAGCTTCTATGTGTAAAAGCTTCTGTGACTTCTCTGCGTAAAAAAGCTTCTGTGTGCAAATGCTTTTGTGCCTAAAAGCATCTCTGTGTGAAAGCTTCTGTGTGACAAAGCTTTTCTGTCTAAAAGATTCTGTGTTCTGTGTGCAAAAGCTTTGCTGTGTAAAAGCTTCTGTGTGTAAAAGCTTATGTGTGCAAAATAGCTTTGCTTTGTAAAAGCTTTGAGTGTGTGTAAAACTTCCATACGCAAAAGCTTCTGTGCGTAAAAGCTTTGCTGTGTAAAAGCTTCTGTTTCACAAAGCTTCTCGGTCTAAAAGCTTCTGTGTGACAAAGCTTCTCCGTCTAAAAGCTTCTGTGTGTAAAAAAGCTTTGCTGTGTAAAAGTTTTTCTGTGTGCGAAGCGTTTGTGTGCAAAAGCTTCTGTGTGTAAAAGCTTTGCTGTGTAAAAGCTTTGTATTACCAAGTAGTACTGGGAAATACATTGTGCAAGCTTTGTAGTACGAAGTAGTACTGGGAAATACTTTTTGCAAGCTTTGTAGTACGAAGTAGTACTGGGAAGTCTTTTGTGCATCTTTGTAGTACAGAGTAGTACTGGGAAGTACTTTGTGTAAGCTTTGCAGTACGAAGTAGTATTGGGAAGTGCAAGCTTCGTAGTGCGACGTAGTACTGGCATACTGGCATGTATGAAGTAGTACTGGGATGTCTTTTGTGCAAACTTTGTAGTACGAAGTAGTACTGGGAAGTCTTTTGTGCATCTTTGTAGTACAGAGTAGTGCTGGGAAGTGCTTTGTGCAAACTTCGTAGTACTGAACAGTACTGTGAAGTATTTTGTGCAAGCTGTTGCTACGAAGTAGTGCTTGGAAGTACTTTGTGCAAGTGTTGTAGTACGAAGTAGCACTGGGAAGTCTTTTGTGCAAGCTTTGTAGTACGAAGTAGTAGCGTGAAGTGCTTTGTGCAAGCTTGTAGTACGAAGTAGTACTGGGAAGTCTTTTGTGCAGCTTTGTAGTGCAGACTAGTACTGGGAAGTACTTGGCGCAAGCTGTGTAGTACAGAATAGTACCGGGAAATACTTTGTGCAAGCTGTTGCTACGAAGTAGTACTGGGAAGTACTTTGTGCAAGTGTTGTGGTACGAAGTAGTACTGGGAAGTACCTTGTGCAAGCTTTGTAGTTCGAAGTAGTACTGGGAAATACTTTGGGCAGGTTTTTTGGTACAGCAAGGTCTTTGTGCAAGTCTTGTAGTACACACGATGAATTTTGTTTGCAAGGTAAGAAGATGTCAAAAAGATGTGGGAATGAAAAATGGCCTCAAGACAAAGGAGATGTCAAGACAGAAGGTGTCAAAGAAAACAATTTTAACAGAAAGAAGTCTCAGAATAAACGTGCGAAACAACAGGAGACAAGAAAAATGGTGCCAAGCGAAAACCGTGTCAAGAGAATGAGATGTGGAGAGAAGAGAATGTCAAGAGAAGCAGGTCTCAAGAAAAAGAGATGCCCACAGATAAGGATGCCAAGAGAAAGAGACTTCAACGGAAAGCGGCTGAAACGACATCGGTTTCAAGAGACAGCGGTGACATCAGAAAAAGCTTGTCAGGATAAAAGAGTGTGTCAAGTCTCTGAGCTGTCCACAAGAAGGGCTGTCAAGATTCAGAAGCAAGCCGGATCAAGAGAAAGTGGCAACATCAGACAAAGATGTCGAGAGCAAGAAGTGTCAAGGACAAAGACTTCCAAGAGATCACGCCGTCAACGGCTGTGCCAGCCAGGGGGTCAGGCGCTGTTCCTATAGGCTCTCCCTTGTTTTTATAAGTTCTTTCCTCTCGCGAAACTTCCGTCACCCGGCTTGCCCGGGCTCTACTTGTAATGATTAATCCCATCCCCCTCATATTTCACACACCCGAAATGGTCACAGTATGTCTAGAACCCCCTACCAAACCATGGTTTCTTGGGGGTGTTGAATATTAAGGGGAAAAGATTGCTTGCTGGTCATTGTTGCTATAACTAGGATTTGGGCGTCGCGGCTTTGCCTTTCTGTTTAATGCATCTGAGGTCAGCAATGGTCAAAAATTTTACACTTTGCTATGGAAGCCATGGCCCATTTACTTCGAGGATTTACCTATCAAGACTTGTGATTTTAGCTACAGTATGTCAAGTACCAATGGACATAACGCAGTCAACCGGCAAAAACAAAGGCCTAAACCATCACCAAATTCAGTGGAAATAGGTGGTATAGACGTGTATAAACCCTGCTAAAATTGAGGGTTAATTTACCACAGTGTACATCATCGCTGGTGTGTTATTCCATCATGCAAGGGGAATGCCCCCTATGTTGGTTGGTTTATAGACCCCATTCACTTCAGATATGATATCCCCCACAAGACTATAAAATTCACCAAGTTCTGTCCGTTATCTTAGCTTTCTTTTGTGCTGGTGCAGTTCCACTTTAATTTTTGTGGTTTATATTTCACCATAAGTTGCATGGGGCCCAGTTCCCAAAGTAAGGGGCCTCACATATTTGATGATCCTGGCTCAATGGATGTGCAAATTTTGCAGACCATGATCTGAAGATATAGGTCCATGTCCCCTCAACAAGGGAAATGTGTAGGAAAACTAGGTTTTCGACCATCAAATTTTGGGATACCCTATTTTCAGACAAACCCATATGTTGAACTCTTGGATGATATTATTAGATGATACAACACGAATGACACCAACCTCACAGCGTCGCCACCCAAAAGGATGGATTAGGTTCGGAAACCGTGCCAACATGATTTTCTTGCAAGTTAATGGCTGCAATTCATCCAGGGCACACCATCAGCAGAGTCATAAGTTGGGTTACAGTTCGCGCAATAATGAAATGTTATGGTGTTTCCATATTTAAGAATGACAACAATGTTGAATGTTGATAATGTTCCAAAGTCTAATTATAACATAATTGCAAGCCTGCACTCCCAAGGCATAGGGTTGGGACCCCGCCCCCTGGCCCCCTGGCCCCCTGGCCCCCTGGCCCCCTGGCCCCCTGGCCCTGCCACAAAAGCGGCTTGCCATGGCACCATGAAGCGACGAATGGAACATGGAACTTCCAGTGTGCCTTGTCTCCAAAATGTAGTACCAACACTAGTATACAATAGTAGGATTACTGGTTGGTGGTTTGGAACATGAATTTTATGACTTTCCATATATTGGGAATAGCAACCCCAACTGACTTCATATTTTTTTCAGAGTGGTAGGTCAACCATCAGCACTAGTATAAGTATACAATAGTAGGATTAAAATTAAAATGATTAAACACCTGCGAATTTCATCGGTGAAACTGGTCATTTGATGATTTATTTTGAGATTTTTGTTGTGCAGTCTTTGTTACCTTCAACCATTGCCGTAGTGGAGGGCAAAATCTGTAGTTTACCACTTACCACGGGCTAAATCTGAGGTTTGAATCAGTAGCTTTCTGTGCGAACTTTGATGGTTGGCGGTCCAGCAAGCTTTTCCGTATTGAATGCGGTAGCCTCTGGTTATGTCAAAATAGCTATGGAAAATGGCCAATTTATAGTGGATTTACCCATTGAACATTGTGATTTTCCATAGTTTTTTGTATGTTTACCAGAGGGTATTGGCGATTTGCGTTTTTTGAGATTTTACGGAGATAGAATGGGATACACAATGATACACACATCATATATATATATATATATAACCGATGTATTGTGCCAAACTGTAACGTTTTTGCCTTGGTGATTTCCTGACTCTGTTGGTGAATCCTTTTAGGAGTTGCAACAAGAAAAGGGTATGGGATGGGCCCTGGGCGCCCTGGGTGGCTATGGTGCCATCAACTATCCATCAACTCATTTGGGGATCGAAACGTACACTGTCTATGAATGGGGGGGATGAGGGAAGGGATACAATGACTGGTTGGTGGTTTGGAACATGTTTTATTTTCCCGTATATTGGAAATAATCATCCCAGCGGGGTTGAAACCACCAACCAGATGAGGATTTTTTTTGTGAGATACGCATGTTTGAGATATCATTGCACGTTTGAGCAGCTGGCGAGTGAAGATGTTTCACCCTTCATTGTGTTACCTGGGAAACGCTTCCAAAATCGGATCAGTTTGTCAGATGTTTCAAGCACTTCTTCGATTTTGGTGGAAACTACAGGATGGGGCCCCCAAGATAGCTAAGTTGCCTTATAAGTGGCTTCACTATGGTTTATGGTAGATATATCTATAGTTGATGGGGATTATTTCATGGTTTATAAACCAACTTACAACTGGGGGGCCCCATTGGAACTACAGAGTACAAAGGTTTTGACCCAGAGATATTTTGCTACCGTGACAATTCTCCACAAATGCTGGGATTACCCAGGCCCCATGGCCCCTTAGGGGTTCAATCAGTTCAATCCCAGCATTGGATGCTCATCCAGTTAGCAGTTCATCCAAAAGATCCAGTTATCTTTTGTTTGGACCATCCCGCTGGAAAAATGGGCTTCGTTCACCCATTTAATAACTGCTTGGTGGAAACTGGAACCATGGATTTTTTTTCTGACTTTCCAATACTTTCCATCATATTGGGAATGTCATGATTCCAAGTGACGAACTCCATCATTTTCAGAAGGGTAGGGCTCAGGGTAGGTATACCACCATATATATATACACATAAATATTATAAATGGGATAAGGCTAGTTAGGGTACTAATTCACATTAGTTCACCATGATTAGCAATGACTAAGTGGGATGATCCTCCAAGCAGCTCCATATTTTCGTGAGGAAGTGGAGAAATGCCCTGAGTCCATGAAGGCTCTGCCTGAGTTCGCAGGAGACACATGCCTTGGGCTGTTTGAACACGGGGGAAACACCAGTTGGATTAACCATTCCATAAGGAAAATGATGGTTGATAGCTCTGGAAAATAATAATTAGTTGATAGCCACAGTTGATAGCTTAATAGCCGGTAAACTAATAACATAGCTATGGAACATGGCCAATTACACTTGATCTACCTATATAAAAGGCTGATTTCCATAGCTATGTTAGTTTATCGGAAAGTATTAGCAATTTCATAGGGAACGTGATGATAAACCCATCAAAATTTGGAGTACCCAGAGTACTCTTTTTTCAGACAAACCTCACACTTAGATGGAGAATTACTTTAGATTACTTTGCTAAGACTACTGTAGTACTTTATGTGTTTGCTATCAAGTGGGTTGTCTCAAAATATGTTCCACTTTAGAAAAACAATCACCATAAATTGGGTATATCCCCATTTCGGACACACCCATTACCCTCTATTGCTGCTTATATCACATTATATCTCAATATATCCCCACAATATATTCCTATGAAATATCCCCACATATGGTTTGTTAAACCCCAGTTGTACTTCATTCTTTTGCAATAAGTGGAGATATCAACCAAAAATGTTAAGAACAAAAAACATCAAATCCAAGATTTGCCAATGTTTTAGGAACAAATGTTGGGACCAAACAAATTTGGGGATGTTAACCAACAACAAAACGGATTTACCCAACAGACAATAGGCTGTATCAGTGGAATTGTGAATATCTTCGACATCTTTGGGGAATAGTTTCTCGTAAATAGAAACTAAATGACTGACGATTCAAATCCGATAGTGTTGCGGTAGTTTAGATGACGATGTGGGGTCCCCCAGTGATTTGTTGATAACCCCATCAACTATAGTAACTATAGATGTATCCACTATAAACCATGGTAAACCGAACTATACTGGTTGGTGGTTTGGAAATATGAGCGGCGTGCTCTGCACACTCCACTGCATGCTTCTGACGTTCAAGGATCTGGCTGCACTCCAGGATACAATTGGAGGCGAAGAAATCCTGTGGAAGATTGCAAGGCAAAGACAAGTAAAGAACAACTTGGAGATGTATGATGACACAGAGGCTCGTTGGGCGCCTGCTGTCACAGTCACAGACCTCCTGTCAGGTTCCAAGTATTTGATTGAGTCGTTGAGCCGTGACAGAGGACAGCTCAGGATCGAGGTAAACGACATGGAGGATGTTGACGCGATCACCTTGCTATCAATGTTCACAACCATGGGCGAGAGTGGGCTTATGGTTTTGACTGATCATGTTGGCAACTCACATGCCCTGCCTTTGGCGACAAGGAACAAGAGAGCTGTCCATGCTTCCTATGGTGTAAATTTCCCGAAAGTGGCAAAATTATATATGTGTATGGGTGCATCGCAATGTATCAAGAAGTTGGATACTTTTACCTGCACATATGGATAAATATGGATAACATGTATCAAGAAGTTGGATACTTTTACCTGCGCATATGGATAGATATGGATAAACTGTATCAAGAAGTTGGAAACTTTTACCTGCACATATGGATACATATGGATAAAATGTATCAAGTGTAAACTGCATCTCAATGCATATACTGTAATATAACACATATAACAGAATCTAAAATCATCTAGACTCGAGAACCAAACCTTAACCATCTACAAATCTCAATGGATGACTTTAGGGTAAACATCGCCGGAAACCTGCGTTCAGGACTGCGCGCGTTCCTGCGAAACCATCGGCGGCTGGGGTCGTAAGCTCGTTGAGCTTCAGTGGCTGCGGGATCAAAAACCACTGTTGGTTGATTATAGTGATGTAATATCATTCAATACGGATTCTGACCATGAAACATATATGAACATATGAGGATACAGTTTGATATAGTTGTTTTTTTCATGGTGGTTTACCCCGGGGCAAACGTTTACATATGTTGAAAAACCATGAGGAATATGGTTTGGAAAATGATCCGCAAATGGTGGGGTTTTCGACATCGAACTGTTAGTTTACAGGAGGATAGCCATCTTGAAGAGAGGTTCTAACCATTTTGATGGGGATATAGTTGATAAGTCATGGTTGATTGATGATTGTGTGGGGTTATGCTAATCCATACTAATTATATAATCCAATTCTACCAGCATGAAACACACTCATTGTATGGTTATGTTATGTGTAAATGTCCAAATAAACCATGGTTTCTGAGGGTGTGCTTAATGATAGCACAATGTTTTGGGGATTATCATAACTATTCTAGGAATCCCGTTCTTTTAATCCACTGAGCAGTGGCTGCTGAACCCATGTTGCTTGATGATTAGTGCGGGTATCGGAGATTATCACAACCCCGTATGGTTACCCTCCGCTGTCATCAAACATGGCTAGCTTTGAAATCCCTCATAAATGGGTATTTTAATAATTTTAAATGGACAACTCATCTATAAATCTCGATAAATGGATGATTTTCCATCGCCATGTTTGATTACCAGAGGGTTTGTGTTGATGGTTTTGATTTCTTGGCTTCCCCTTGAAATCAAGGTATGGAAAACACACCATGCAACGTTCGAGAAATTTTGGGGAATCCTGGGATTTCCATTTTTCCATGTTTCATTTGCTGGAGGATACCCTCTGATAAACTAACAGAACTATAGAAAATCACCATTTTCAATAGGTAAATCAACTATGAATGGGTTATTTTCAATAGCTATGTTAAATTACCAGAGGGTACATGATGTTTTTCTATTTTCTTTCGGGCCAAGCGAACAAAAGTTCGGGGTTAGCTCGGGTCTTGCAGGTGCTCTCAAAAAAAGGGGGGATGGATCGGTTCAGTTTGGGATGAACATCAGTCCCAGGGTTTGTCTGGAAATAGGGCATAATTACATCTAATTACCTCAGTTAAAGGTTTTGTAGTTGAACACGGGTCTCTGGAAATGGATTTTGAGGTCCTTGGTTTGTTTTTTTTAAATGTTGTTTTACTGATTTCTTATTTGTGACATCTTCTTTCTCTGGTAAAATATTTAAGAGGGAAAATGGTGGAAAATGATGAATCATCCAACGGATGGTTGGGGCTTTCCTCGATGTTCAGAAAACAGGCCATTTGAGTGTCGCACTGAAGGGCACCAATGCCGAGACCCCATAAGCCCAAGATGAAGGTAGCCATGAAGGTGCCCAGGTGCTACCTACAAGTTGGGGCCTACCCTCCGGAAATCCACAATTGAAATGGGGGTTTCAATAGGAACATCACCGAACTCAATCGCGTATTTTCCAGCACGCCATGTGACTGATGACACCGGTGGGTAGTTGTAAGTTGGACTAGAAGCCCTACTAACTATATAGATGATACAGATAACCCAAGATTTCAGATTCCCAAAACCAATCCGTTTGCTGAATCTTTTCAGTTTGGAATTTCCACCTTAAGCAACACTACAGGTCACAAAGATGAATGTGCCACTCCAGGTATAAGTATGTTTACAAAGCCATTTAGCAAATATGAATCCACCATCAACCAGAGTAAACCTAGATAAACCTAGTAATTTGCACCAGCTTACCTATCATTCTGGGACCATTGTAGAAATCCCAGTAGCTTCATTTTGCATCCGTTTCGCAGCATCCCATTGGCAAACCCCATATGGGACTGCAGCATCTGCAGCGAAACTGGGTGTCACTTCAGCAATCTGTGGCCTGAGGAAAATGATATGCCTGAGTTTTCTTTGCTTGTGGCTTGCCGCAACTAGATACTCCCAGTTGGTGCATACCACCAAACATATTTCAAGACCCAATCACAGACATCACAGACCTCCAACGAAAAACGCTTTGGATTCTCCTGGGTTTACCACATTGATCCAGCTAGGGAAGATTCAACATGTAGCGACCTGCGACCGAAGCCTGGGATGATGGGAATTTTCGATTTGGGGAATCCCGAAACTGGTTGGTTGTTTGGAACCATGATTTTTTTTTGACTTTCCATATGTTGGGAATGTCATGATCCCAATTGACGATTCGTCATATTTTTCAGAGGGGTAGGCATACCACCAGCCAGCAAGTGTTTGCTGCGTCAGTTTCAGGGACTCGATTTGATGGAATGGATCTACCAGTGGACACTGATTCAATCGCCGATTGAGAGGGATATATGTTAGGTCTGCTCGGTGATTTGAATTAACATATAGGCACCTAAAAAAAACATTCAATGTCCAGTTGGAAATGACATTGTTCCATGTAAAAGAATGGATTTCGCTTCGCCTCCGATGAACCCAGAGGCTACCTATCCACTTGTAGTTTCTGTAAAAAGGGTCACCTTTCCGATCAACTTCACGGTGCTTCAGATTTTTTTCCAGGTTGAATGAGTTTACTATCCTCCATCTTTTAGGGATCTACTTGGGGTTGAGGTTCTTAGTTTTGACATGTTTTGACTTTTTCGAATAACTATGGGGGTTTGAACCTCCATGGAAAAATCTGGGGCCCCGAAAAAAAACGATGGAGAAATATCAGCCACAAGAATTATGGTTTCACTGCCCCAAATATGTTGGACTTGATCAAAAACCGAACGATTTCTGCATGAAGTCCGCCTCCGAATCCCTAGCCGTTGAAACAAAAGTGGTACCAGAAAGAAATGGATCCCCAAGGTACGGTTTCAATAGATGTTTCAACAAGGATTTAAGGGGTAGCTCCATGACAAAACGGACACTTTTACTTGTCAATTGCCATGTATTTGCTGGTTAAACCCATGTTACACCCTGTTTTGGATGGTTAACAACCATGAATTCATATAAATTCATATAAATTTCATAACCTGCCATGGGATTTTCCCGTGTTTCCTATCGAAAACCAAGGTGCTCCATCCTGTTGTGGTGGCCTGTCGAGTTGAATCGCAACTATCATGTGCAGGAGAGTGGATGGGGGACCTGACGTTCTGAAGGAAGGGGATTCTTGGGAGCTATGAACATCTTCTGGTGGTTTGGAACATGACTGGATGATTTTTCTTCGGAATTTTGTGATGAATTTCACCACTGACTTTCATCATATTTTTCAGAGGGGTATGCCACCAGTTGTTGAACCACACATACCCTCTGGTAAACCTGTACATAAAACATCATAAAACTATGGAAAATCACCATTGGTATCCACTATAAATGAACATGCTCAATAGCTATGTTAAAGAACCACACATATCAGTGTTTTTTTTTAATGTTGTTATTTGTCAGTCTCGAAGTGTTTCCCATGATATTTCCAAGTGTTTATGGAAAATCAAACAATTAATTACTGGTGCTTAGCAGGGAATGTATGGGAATGGGGGAATGGAATTATTATTGATAGTTATTGTGGATCATTCCCTCATTCCTGACTAAGCACAAGTAAGTGTTTTTTTTCACAAACACTGATACAATCCTCCTCACATATTTTTTTTGGGGGGAGATTCTATCAGTGTTTTTCTGTTTGTTATTTGTCAGTCTCTCCAAGTGTTTGCCATGATATTCCTCATAAGCTTCCACAAGATCCCAGCAAAAATCCCTACTTGTAGCCATTTCCAGGGTGTATTCCCCAATGGAATACGATCCTAAGCAATCATGCATTCGAAATCATTCAAATCCATTAAAGCCACCTAAAGTCCCATTGAAATCAAATCCATTTAAATTCCATTAACCCCTCTAAATTCCCATGAACATCCTATAAAGGACCCCTAAATTCAGTTAAAAAACCGCACAACCAACCAATAAAACGACACAATACATTCCGATACAATCCAATACTGGTTGGTGGTTTGGAACATGAGTTTTATTTTTCCATATATTGGAAATGTCATCATCCCAACTGACGAAGTCCATCATTTTTCAGAGGGGTAGGGCTCAACCACCAAGCAGCAATAAAACCCCCAACAAAAATCCAGAGAGAAATCCATAAATTGACTCTACATGGTTTATAAAATCAATAACCATAATTATTAACAATTTTTAACCATCATTTAGCCATTATTAACCATAAAATCCAACAACTAAAAGCCTCAAAAATCGAGAAATCCCATGAGTCACAGAATTGGATGATGGGACAATTTTAACCGGAAAGCCCAACCAATTTGATGGTAAAAACCATGGTTTCCTGTAGATTTCCCCAGGAAAAAATCGCCTCAGAACTGGGCCGAAAGGATCGCGTGGCGTCGCTGAATGCGGAGCTGCAGGGACGATCGCCGCAGGAGATCCTACAATGGGCAGCTTGGCCAACAGCATGGCTGGAAACCACTTAAAAATCCAAGGAATTCATGGGAATTACCCTCTGGTAATTTAACGTAGCTATTGAAAATGGCCATTGATAGTGGATTTTCCCATCAAAAATGATGATTTTCCATAGCTATGTTAGTTTACCAGAGGGTATCACAGTTATCTATGAGAATTGATCTAACATATATCATATATCATATATATATTACGATGTCTTATGGGTATAATTTCTATAGATATATTGGTCTAACTTAGTATAGCTATGGATGATCACCATTTTAAATGGGTAAATCAACTTTTTCTATGGCCATGTTCAATAGCTATGTTAAATTACCAGAGGGTATCTATGAGATTTGATCTAATATATCATATCACATAATATATATAATATACATATATGTAAAAAAATATATACCATAATTTATATGGGTATAAGTAGATATACTGATCTAAGTTAGTAGAACCAACTAGTTCATTGGCAACTTGGGCACGTTTGGATGCACGTTGGGTTCAACATGCGCAACTTGGTCCTGTGTCATGTGTGGTGGATCATATCATTATCTATGAGAATTGATCTAACACATATCATATATATATACATATTACAATGTCTTATGGGTATAATTTCTAGATATATTGGTCTAACTTAGTATAACTGAAACTATGAACATCAATCAAGATGATATATGGGTTGAGATTCTACTGATTATATGGGGGAGAGTCTTACAATGGGGGAATCGCCAAGTCCCATTGGTTTCAATACTAAACTTGTCTAATGACTTGGATGAGAACTGGGGGTACCCTCTGGTAAACTAACATAGCCACTATAAATGGCCATGCGCAATAGCAAACTGTTAGTTTACCAGAGGGCACCCCCATTTTAGGAAACCTCCTCCAATTAATCAATAGAGAGATTGCGTCCCTTCACCATTCATGAGCCTTAATGGTGATATGTCATGGGAATATCATTGGATTTAATGGTGATATTCGCCAACAATATATTGAGATACGGTGGATGGTTGCGAAATCCTGCAATCCCATTGCAATCCCATGGAATAGTCCCAGTGTTTCATAGGAATCCCTATAGTTATCAACTGGTGCAGGATTTTGTCCATCCACACAGTATGAGAATATCTACTAAATATTATAGTATATATGGTGTGAGATTCTACCAATTACTTCTATTTCTTTTAAATTGTATCAGCCAATTCATTATCATAATTAGTGATGGGGTATAACCCCCTGCAACTAATGAGAGATATATCTGATATATCTACCATTGGACTGTGATGAATGGGAAATTTGGATTACATGGGAATATAGTCTGGAATAGCTTTGTACAGCAAGTGATATATATATATATACATTTATATAGCAGCCATAGTTCTAATACTAGAGGTATAGGATACAATCTGGAAAGGTATTGATGATATAGGGGACATATCTGGCTGAATTATAGCAACATCATGGCGACGTCACTAGATCAACAACAAGTGATAATTATATTTACTATACATAGTATACACGAGTTGCTTATACTGAATCTAACATACTTACCCTCTGGTAATTTAACATAACTATTGAACATCACCATGCTATGAAAAAGGGGTAGTCATCAACTATTTCGATTGGGCCATTTTCAATAGCAAAATGTGACAGTTTACCAGAGGGTATCTGCAATACATTGGGGATATATCTGGAACAAAGGTATTCCACCCTGGGACCCTGGGATGATTCTCCAGCCGGTCAGGCAAAGAGATTGCCCGGAGGGGTGGTCCAGTTCAGTCTCTTGCTATGAAAACATAGGGATGATCTACCAACATCATGGAATTCGATGCAGAAGTTTCATGGGATTTATGTGGATTTGGGATTTGATAGGGTTTCAATCTGGATATAGAATACATTAGAATACCCAAAAACCATTGATTTATTCTGATGCCATCATTTTTCCACAATACTGATACAAAACATTGGGGATACAGCCCATTTTTTGAGCCACATCATTGGGATGACCAACCCCAGCATCCATAAATTGGCTATACATGGTGTATAACATCACTGGTTGGTGGTTTGGAACAAGCCGTGAGGCCCGAGGTTTCCTTCCAGTGGTACGGCTGTTCGTACCGATCACGGGCAGGTAGTGTATCCCCTTGTTAGCCATGGCTCGGCAAATGTTCCCCATGGACTGGTGCCAAGTGGATAAAGGTGGTAAGATCGACTTACTTTGTCGGATGACTGTGTTTGACGCTGAACACGAAGCTCACATCATGGAAATGGTTCACAACAACAGCAGATTCACTTTGTCAGGGCTGGTGGAAGCTGGTTTTGAATCATATACGGTATTTGATGCGACGATGGAGGTTCAATTTCCTTCTCCCAAAGTTTCCCTTGGTCCATTGAGCTGCATTTTTGGCCACAGGGAAGTCTCATGGGACAGTTTATTTTCCTCCATTGATATGTGTTGCGGGTTTGGCGGAATGACCCAAGGCTTGCTGCCATGTGGTTTTCATTCCACTGTGGCAGTCGACCACAATGAAAGATTCTTACCCTTGTTTTCACGAGCTGCTTCTGTGCCTACAGTGCTTGGGGACATAGCTGACAAACGTGTTCTCAGGGAAGTTTTCAAGCATGCCCAAGGTGCCAGGATGATGACAGGAGGGTTTAGCTGCCAGCCATTTTCAGCCTTAGGTGATTTGCGCAGTGCAGCTGACCCACGTTCCAGTTGTTTGTCAAAGCTCCTATTTGCCGCCTTTTACATGAGAACCCAGATTTTGATTTTGGAATGTGTAGCGCCCGCTGCACAGGACCAATTTGTGAAATCGGAGATTGACTATTTCTGCCAAGTTACTGGCTTCTGGTGTGAACAAAGGAATCTCAAGCTTGATCAAGTATGGCCATGCAAACGAAACAGAGCCTGGTGGGTTCTCACTTCCCCGGTGGTTGGCAAAGTCATGATCCCTGAATTTCAGTGTTTTCATGCGGCGCATACAATTGACAGGATCATTCCTTTCATTTCTCCTTGGGATAAAGATGATGAGAAAGCTCTCAGTTTATCTGGTGAGGAATTGTTTGCGTTTGGTGGACATGAACAAAACTTCTCTCAACATCTCATGAATACTCGAGGAAAAGCACCATGTGCCTTACATGCATGGGGTAATCAAGTGACCGCATGCCCATGTGGATGTCGATCTGCAGGACTTTCAGCCAAACGATTGGAAGAAAAAGGAATCTTTGGACTGTTGGTCCACAGCGCACCAGACATTGATGGACACTCCAGCATTCGACATGTTCATCCCAATGAGGCCCTTGCACTGAATGGAATGGATCCCACATTGGACTTTGGAACCCACCCCCGATTGGTCCTGAGTGCAGTGGGACAGATTGCCAGTCCTTTGCATGTGACATGGGTCATGGCTGCGGTTTTGGGTAAACTAGAAGAACTCAAGTTTGGGAAGTCCAGTTTCACTCCTGAGACACAAATCCAAGCTTACATGTCTTAGCTCGTTGCCCGATGCCACCTAGTATGGCCAACTCCGGATGCCAGTGGAGTTGATGACAAGTTTTCCTCTTTGAGGGGTTGTTGGACCAAATTTGAACAGCTGTCTCTTGAGGAATTGATGTATCCAGGTCGGTGGGAGACCAAGCTTGAAGCACCAGTTTCCATCGCTGCCATCCTTGACCTGCTGTTTCGCGAATCCCAGCAACAACCAGTTGGAGTACCTGTGCAAGTTGGCAATGATGCGATCCTTTTGGAACCTGAAACGCCATGGTTGGACTTTCCCACTGTTTCCAATGATCAAGGGGTCTGTGGTTTAGATGTTGCCTTTTGTACGGTTTTCATTGATGGTGACTGCATGGCCCCAGTGAAACTTTCTCCCACAGAAGGAACCACTTTGATGGATTTGATCACTGCGCATGAAAAGCTTGATGGACCGTTGCTCCAATCCAAATGCACAGATGCTGATGGGAATGTTTTGCCGGCTGATCATGTTCTGCGTGCTGGCCAAGTCATTTATGTATGGTCGGAGGAGAAACACCATGGAAATCAAAACATGCACATAGAGCCATGTGACCCAATTCAGAGCACATGTATGGACGTCTCACCCACGGTGGAATGGTCTCAGCCCATTGTTCAGCATGATTTTCAGAAACCTTCGATTTTTGACATTGGTGAATGCTCCGTTGAACCAGTAGGTGACCAGCCGGAGTGGCTTTGTGCTGAACCACTCCTTGGCCTGAAAGGAGAGCAGTTTTTGCAGTTGTCAGCCCCGCAAATCGTCACCACACAGCAGCTGTGGTCTATCCGTCACCAGTTTTTGCAGGTGAAAGATCGTCTTGCCATTTTGGAACACCAGGGTTTCCTCTTCGCTGATGATGAGATTCGGTTTTTGTTGTTTTCTCTCAGTCAAAAGTTTGTTGATGTCCAAGTCAGATTTTCCAATGACCCGGTGAAACAACTTGTGACGATTGACCCATTGATCACAACAGCATGGATGCAAAACAAAGGTTTCTCGTGTGAAGCATGGGGAAAAGACCACGGATTCATTTTCAGCAAATCACTTCCTGTTGCGGCTGTGTTTCATGTTGATGGCCATTGGGTCCCAGTCTTCATGAGTCCTGCAGGGGACACGCTGAACGTTTGTGTTTGGGATGCTGATTCGGGTAACCACATGAAATTGAATGACACCATTGAAAGGATCGGGCTTGCAGTAGGGTTCGTTTCAGTCATCATCCAGAGGGATCGCAGAATGTTTTTCTCCAGTGATTTGTGTGGGACTCTGGCAAGTGCGTATCTGCACCACACACTCTTGGGGGTACAGTTGCCGACCAACCAAGCAGAGACAGCTCAGAGAGCGCAACTCTATCGTGAACACTTTGTTCACTCAATTGCCACTTGTGACATCACCAAAAGACCTTGGATTTGGGGTAATGGGGACCACTTGCCTTCCTTGATCGATGAATTTTCTGGGGACCCAATGAACTTCCCTTTGCCTGAAATGCTGTCCAAAGATCGCAGGATCGAACTCATTGTTGAGCATGGCATGGCGGTTGCTGACGATGAAATCCGTTTTCATGTCCAACATATCATTGACAGGTATTGTACCATCATGTCACAGCGTGGACAAACACCTGTGCACAAGTATGTGAGTTTTGAGCCTTTGATTTTCACGTGCTGGGAATCCATTGGAAGGACTATTTCTGCGAGATGGAGCGAACGACATCCAGAAATCCGTAGTGAGGGTGTCCAAGTTTTAACTGCATTCAACCTTGACAACCATTGGTTCCCGATTTGGTGCTCTCCTCATGATGATTGTTTGACTTTTCACACGATTGCACATGGCACCATTGATGCTTACAGGTTGCGTGATGTTTGTGCATGTATTGGGCAACAGTTAGGCTTCCCGCTCTTTGCCCTCCATGTTATTCCTTCCAGACTCCCAGATCACGACTTGTGCGGAGCACAGGCCATGATGTTCCTGGCTCACGTGGTACATGGTGCTAGCATGCCAGACGAAGTTCAGGTCTTGAGAGACTTGCATGCCAACATGAGAGCGACATTTGTCGAAGACCTCCTCTCCAAGTCTGAGGTACCTGCACCAGTTTTGTGGGGAAATGGTTGTGGTTCCGGGGAATCAGGGCAACTCCCGATAATGCCCTGCGTGTGCCCTTTCGTGGCACATTGTGATGTAAACCCTGGTGGACACATGATGAATGCAAACAGCCAAGCCGATACTGCATCGTTGGTTTCCAACACCATCGACTGGCAATTTGTCCAGAACCTGTTTCGTTGGCAAGCAGAAGCCAAAACGTTGTGCCAACCCCCTGAAGTTGGCAGTTGCAGCGCCGGTCAGAGTGAATGTGGTCTGTATACCAATGCCATGGATGCAGCAGAGCTTGTGTGTCATATTTCGCGTGTTCAGAGAGCTGCGCATGCCTGTGACCCAAGTCTTAAGTGTCCAACAATCCAAGTTCTGCCCGAAGTCATGATTTCAGGCCGTTCCTTCAGTCGTTCCTGACTGGCAGTCACAATGTGATGATTCATTCGGTGATGACGCAACACCACTGGGTCCCGGTTGTGTGTGTCAAAAGTGTAGTGGTCTGTAGGATTTTTGTCCCCTTTGATGCCGAGTTTGTCTTTGCGCATGCCAGTCAGGACTTTCCTGCTTGTACTGTGTATGGAGTTGCTGAAGATTTCACTCATAACTTGTGTGGAGCCCATGTGGTTGAGGTTATCACCAGTTTGCTTTGTGGGGTCCCTGTAGCAACTACCATTGAAGAATTGGAAAGTCGCCATCTTCACCTTCGCACTGCATTCCTTGTCAGTGGAGGAACTGGATGGTGCTCCAACATTCATGGCTATGGACCGCAAGGAATGCTTCAGAAAGACCTTGCTGCAGAGCTCGTCAAACATGGAGTGCCCGCTGACCAATCGGAAGCACGGGCCAATGAAGCCATTAAAGTAATTGGAAGTGAACAGTTGTTGACTGCCATGAAACACAAACAACCATGGCGACAATTGAAAACTCTGGGGAACAACAACAGGTTCAAGTTTGTTCTGCCGTCTGAGTTGGCCCAGTTTGTGGATGCTGACCAAGTCCCAGGAAAAGGTGGTAAAGGAAAAGGCAAACAAAGACCTCAGATTGGTACTGCCCTTGATTTGGATCCGAGCAAACTTCAAATTTTGGACGGCCTCTTTCGTGCACAAGGTAGGATCATTCCACAGATTCACCCGAAACAGATCGGGCCTGTGAGTTCAGGAGTTGTCCTGATGACACATGCAGAAG